ACCAACAATCGGACATAACATGGCCAGTCCTTTTTTACAAAAATGGCAGACAGGCCTTGATTGTTTTAAAGAAGTTTTGATCCTGACTGTCAGAAGATTTCGAACTAGAGGAACTGGAGTTTTTAGAAGGATCCTCAACTTTAGTGAATTGAACAGATGATATATTTGTTGAGATGATAGTAATTTCATTTTATGAAAAGTGGTTTTATGTGTTAAAGTGTAATCAAAGAGCGGCTGTTTCCTGCAGTGCTTCACCTTTCTTTTCTTCCAAGTAAGTTCTGAGGGCGTCACGTGCACAATGTTTAAATTCCTTAATTAGACATAATTGTCTTACTTTGTCGAAACTGTTGCCAATATGCTTAGAATTACAGCATCGATCAAACAAACCTCTTTTTCGTGGGTAAATTCCATATAAATTTGATTATCTTGTTTGTGATAGCCTCGAAACTTTTGTCGATAAGCCTCAGGTTCTAACTCGTGTGCTTTGAGAATTGCTGCTTTAACCTTATCATAATTCATACAGTCTTCTAAAGAGAGAGTGGCATAAGTTTCTTGGGCTTTACCAGTTAAAACACTTTGTAATAATAATGACCATTTTTGGATAAGTTTTATCTAAGGATGATGATGTTGTTGAGGAGAATTCCGATGTGTTTCCCTCATGTACGGTGATTCGAGCTCAGGCTAAGAAATTAAGCCCAAAACAAATAATAGACATGGATTCAGGGGACGATAATATATATAATTGTCTCAGACATATATTGGATCCGACAAGGATCTTGTGGATAATTGTCCTACTGATGATTCCTCGGTGAGGGATCTGTAAACTGATCACTGAGCAAGAAAAAGATCTGCAGATCTCTTCACTATTTAAATATGAACTTCCAAAAAGATGAACTGGAGAAATTCACAAATGGTTATTTTGTCAAAAATGGTGTGCTTATGAGGAAATGGAGACCACCAGATGTGCCAGCTTCAGAGGACTGGGCTAGTGTTTACCAAATCGCTCTGAAATATTGAAAGTTGCCCATGAACTCCCGATGGGAGGTCATTTAGGTGTCAACTAGACATGTGACAAAATGCCTGCCACGTATCGAAGCTGTGACATTCCGAGACTTAGGTCGACGTGATAACAACCACGTTACAAACACTTGAAGAGAAGTTGGGGAAAATGTTCTTACAGTGTTCATTCTTTAATCTTAATTTTAAATAATATTTTCTTTTAGGTATTCATTAATGAAGCATTAAAGAATGCTATCAATCACTAGAGTGGTGAAAATAACAGCCGATCTTTTATTTTGCTTTCTGGGAAAAGAGAAACCTAAGACTGAAATATGTAATGTTGCAACATAGTTTAAGTTTGTTTGTTTTAGTGCAAATCTACATAAATGGGCTCTATCCACCGAGTGTATCGAAACCTTGTAGCATTGCGCTTAAAAACAAAAACCAGCTGGATATAACACATATTTTTAGTTTAACATCCAGTACTCTATGAAATGATACCCATGAACTTTAATAACTTTATAATGCGCATATAATACAAATGAGAGCTTTCTTCAGTTTAGAAACGAAGTTATAAAAATTACTTAAATGAGTGCTTGTGGTGTAGTGGTCATCACATTCGCTTTACACGTGAAAGGTCCCAGTTTCAATCCCTGGCAGGCACAAAGTGTATTTTTAGATTAGCGCGTTCTGCTGTCTCAGAGTACAGACGTGTTTTTTTATCAGTTCTGATTTCATGTTTAGTTAGTGACTTACTCTTTTTTGTTTTATCGCGTTGTGTAGTTTTTGTTTGTGATTTTAAATGTGGAAGTTTCTGGACTTGGTTTATTAAGTCCAGAGCTTCTGTTGAATCTAGATTTGTTCAATATGGTTCTTTAGAAGATATGAAAAGAACAGTGTTTGTGGATTCTTTTAAAATTAATCAAGGACAGCTTGTGCAAGCTGTTATTTCTCAGTTTTGTTCTTCTTCAGTTTCATCGATTGTCACCTGTCCAGGAGACTATGAGGTTATAGTTATATTAAGTGACTATGTTGAATTTGTGGTGCATTCTGGAATGATCATTCATGGCGAATATCTCACTGATGAAAGCCTTATCTCTAAGTTACATACAGAGGTCTCAGCGGAGAACTATTCGATAATGGAGGTGGATCGTGGTGTTCTTCTTGGACCTGCTACCTTAGATGATGAGAATATTCGATCACGCTCTTTATCTACTGTTGCTTTTACGTCGTATTGGAATTAATATTATTAAATTGAGGTAAGTTGATACTTACAGACTTAGTCACTGAACATTAACCCATAGCATTACAACAATAATAGACAATCCCAAATTTGTAAAAAAAGTAACAACTCTAACATATTCAAATACTGTCAAATTAATATATTTTAGAATTCTGATTAAAATTTTCTCTTCTATATTTCAGAGTAACTTTCTCTAAAGAAGGAATGACTATCGTGTTCGTCGTGCAACAACCATATACCAGCCTCGATTCCTGATATGCAAAGTTTCTTTAGGCTTCGATTATTTAGAAAAACGTTCTTTATTTAAAATTGAGAAAATATCATTAACTGAAAACGCTCTAGGATTATGTTTTTTCTTCTCTTTTCTTAACCAGCACGTTAGGATTTGTGAAAGGCCATATTTAATGTGTATGCTATGTCTTCCATTTCTTAACGGGATGTTTTTTTTTCAATAG